ATTCCATGAAAAAGAAGCTGACATGCATCAAATATAAAGTGAAAGCAAACTGCTATGAAGGGGCAAAGGACTACTGCATTCTTTTTATTTTATTTAAATTAGAAATTAAATCTTATTTTACATATCAATCCCAGTTCCCTCTCCCTTCCATCCTCCCATGCCCCCACCGACACCCCCATCCCATGCCCCATTCACTTCCCAAGGAGGGTGAGGCCTTCCTTGAGGGATCATCAGAATCTGCCAAGTCATTTGGGACAGGGCCTAGGCACTCCCCGTGTATCTAAGCTAAGAGAGTATCCCTCCATGGGAAATGGGCTCCCAAAGTCTCTTTGTGCACTAGGAATACATCCTGGTTCCATTGCCAGAGGCCCCATAGATTATCCAGTCCTCCTAGTTGACACCCACATTCAGGAGGCCTAGTTTGGTTCCCCAGCTGTCAGACTGGGGGTTCCTGAGTTCCCACTGGCTCAGGTCAGCTGTTTCTGTGGACCACTGCATTCTTTCAGAAAGCTCATCAGCAGTGTTGTCATCTCCTTGAGTGGTAAAATTTTATTAGTGCCTCTAGTCCCTTCCTGGAGCATAGACCAGTTACTAAACTCTTGAGTGTTGCAAGTTGTCACTTTCCTGTCAAAGTTAGGAGTGACTGAGAAGATCCCCCCAAGGGAAGGGCAGCCCCATTGCCCAATGTCAAACACCATTACCACCACCATCACAACGCTATGGATGGCCCTCCTCTACTCATGCCCAATAGTTCTGCCTTTCCCAAACTGCTACGGATCTTCTGATTCCTCTTGAATTTAAGCAAAGTCTTCCATCCCAGGCATCTTGTTTTTGGAGGGACTGTGTTTTTATGTCATCCCTATACCCCATTGATCCACCCATCTATCCCTCTCAATCCCAGGCAAAGTAGTGACTCTGCTTTTCTACTTAGCTTTGCGTATTAATGGAATGTTGTGAAAATGACCCTTGCTCCACCAGCTGGTTGCCTTTCCCTTTCCCTCGATCTTGGCCACACAGTGAAGAAAAAAATAATCACCAAGGGGACACTGATTTAAAAGATATGAACTAAAAACAAGATACAAAAATTAAAACATAATGCTATTTTTACATGTTCATGTAAGAAGAAAGTAAGTATAAAAGTTAATTCTTACAAAATAATATCAATACAATTTAAAATACTCTTGGTGAAAAGAAAGTGAGTAGATGCAGTCAGTCAGTGGAGCATTGGTATCCCTGAAATAAGCGCTGCATCACATACCATTTATCCTGCAAAGTATACAATAAGCAAGATATTTGACTTTGCTTACTTGTCCATGATGAACAAACGCTACCATGGAAACTTTAAAAGAAGTCTTTAATTTGGATAAAAACTTCAAATATATTGCTCAGTGGATTTTAATACTAGAAAGTCTTTCACTGGCAAAGTGGAACATTAAAAAGTCATATTTTGGAATATCATAGCAAAGCTTACACTGTGTGTAAAGTTTATCATCACAACAATTTTTCACAGAAAAAAATCTTAAATCTGAAGTTGTCAATCCACTTCTTTTTGAGTTTTTAGTCACTTAGAAACAGCAGCTAAGCACAGAAAAAAAACTCTTAAAGTACTGATTTATATAGTTCATCCCAACAAGACAATTTGCTATTTACTTGTTTTACAGTTAATCTCCATGCTAAATCTGAAAGTGCATTATCAATAACAACTAGAATAAAAGAACACTGGGATAATGACATGAGAGGATAAAAGCAAGGAAATGCTCATTTGATTTGAGGATATAATCTCTTTCACATATATGAGCTTTAAGTTGAAATGAAGTAGGCTAAAGGCTCCTCAAAAAGTTAGCAAGAGCATTCGTGTAAAACAAAAACTTACCACAGGCACAGTTAGCCTATCTAAACTCCAGTCCCTATGGACAAGTGCTTTCTCACAGGAGCTATACACCTCCATAAAATTAAATAAGATTTTAATTTTTTTTACATTAGTAATTGACCACTCACATTTGAGTGGCAAAACAGAAATATCATGCACTTATTTTCTGTACTAAATACCTAAGTGAACAGCATGCTGTTGCTTTCCCTACAGTTAAAGTTGACAAAGTGAATTACTGTAGAGTTACAGAATTAAATATTATTTCAGAGAATCCTGAGCATACTTGCTGCACTCTTTCCAGTATGCGTTATGCAAATTTTGCATGGTCCTGAAGATGGCAGAGGCACTCCTAGGTCCCTAAAGGATTGAATAGGGCTGAATGCAGACCTCTCCCACCCTCCATTTGTTCTGGTAGGATTAAACATGTAAGGTTGTGGGGAAATATGTAAAAATACTTATTCATTAATATATTCTGCCAGTATTATGAATAACAAGGATTCATGAGATGAAATTTGCATTCAGAATTGCAGAATAAAGCAAAAGAGGTCATTGAATGGAGAGCAAAGATCAGGCAAGAATTTCTAGAAACTATGTGGTCTAAAGTATTTAGTAGTTACCTGCCAATGTCTTGCTTCTGCAATCATATCCTAAATTTCTACCATCTTATTGTGACTCTATCTTTACTTAAATACTTAAGTGAATAAATTTATTCATTTATTTTTTGGCTTTTTTGACTTGTAGGTAGTTAGCTTATAGTGCACAGTATGGCTTTCTATACATGTGTATAGTATGTGGTAATCAAATCACAGCAAGTGGCACATCCATTACCTCTACGTTTATCATTTCTTTGTGTTAAGAACATCCCAGATCCATCTACTGGGTCTTTCAAAGCATTTGATTAATTAATTCTTGTTACATTTTGGTTCTATTGCATCTTAGAAATTGTTCTGCAGTCCAATAGTCTCCATGAACATATCCTCTTCCCGTTTCCTTCCCTTCCCAGTCTCTGGAGGTCAAATAGTCTACTTTCATTAGATCAACATTTTAGCTGCAACATGTGGGTGAGAAAATGCAGTATTTTTTCTTTAGTGTCTGGCATTTGACCTGAATTCTTCTATTGTAAATAACAGAATTTTCATTATGTAGAGCAAAAATATTCATATGTATGTGTGCAAGGATGTACACTGTCTTAACCACTCATTCACCAATGAATTCCTAGTCTGCAAAAGTTCTCCTTTCTCTACTCCTTACTAGAATTTCTTATGTCATACCTTTTAATAGAAGGCTCTTTAACTGAGCTGAAATGATATCTCACAGTTGGTTTAACTTGTAGATGCTAGTAAACACTCTGCATAATGCTAGGTAGTTTGTGTAATTTTAATAATTTAATTTCCAGTGTGAAAATTTGCATATAGCATTCTCATTTACAGATGAAGTTGTTGATGCCTGTCCTTGTTAAGATGTTCTCACAGCTAGTAAGCTGCTAAACAGCAAATCCAGCATTTAGGTGGCCCTCTTTTCGTGCCCATATTTTAAATGCACAATATTGCATTACAGGAAATACTTAGTCCCATCAGATTACCATTTGCACACTGGTAATTTACTTCAAGTACTCTCCTTCACACATGTGAACATGTGCGTTTTGAATGTCCTCTATCAAAGGAGGACAAAAACTGCTGGACCTGACATACACAATTTTGGATCAGCCTGTCCCACTGGAAACTTTACAATGATTTTTATTGACACACCAGAATATTATCCCCCACCCACATAAAATGTAGATGCATAGTAAAAACTTATTTTACTATAGTCGATATATTTTGATTTAGAAATGAAATTGTTCGTTTATAACAAACAACTTCTATGAACAAACTTCACTGAAAACATGGAACATTACTCACTTAATGGTAACTACAACTATATTAATTTTTGTAGTTAGTGTAATCAAGAATACTGCTTGGATAAAATGAGCTTGAATATATTTATCATTTATGATTTGAACAGTTATTAGCAACAAACTTAAATCACCTAATAATATTGATTCACACTTCAACTAGGATTGTCACTGGGACTGAAGTCTAACAAAATGAAGACCATCCTCCATCTTTGAGCCATGCTTGAGTAAGTTTTTCTATGTGGCTTCTGATTTTCATTTTTCTACTTCTGTGGCTACTATTTTTCTGCTGGTATGCTAATGTATCCAATTAACTTAATTCAAATCTTGTAGCTGAAGAATTAACCTGTTCTCCAAAGATAATTTGCACAGGTTTGTGCTTGATGTATTTTGTGTTGATGTTGAATTTCAGCAATCAAAGAACAGTATCATGTGTGTTTTTATTTTGATTTATTTTGCTGATAGCTTTCTGTAGAAAGCCAGAAGAACTGAAAAACATGTGGTGCTACACGCCTTTAATCACAGCACCAGGGAGGCAGAGACTTTTAGACTTTGTGACCATTTAGTGAGTTGTAGTCAAGCCAGAAATATATATATATTATTGAGTCTCAAAAAATTAAAAATTAATTGCAGGATAATGTAAAGCACTCTAAAATATCTTGCTTATTTGTGAGGAATGAAGATAAATAGTAGCAGCTGCTTCTTCTCACTTAGGATAGAAACAGTGTGCTCTTGAATGAATCATAGGTACCAAGGACTGAACCTAGGACCATATCCACTTTGGGGACAGTTTAGCACTGTGCTACATGCCCAGCCCTAGTCAATTATTTAATCACATACATCTTGGTTGGTAGAAGAAACCTCTACAAATCCCTCCTATGAAAGGAGTTGTTTCATAATCGTTCTAAGCCATGTCCCAAGCAAGAACTGTTGGTCAGGAAAGAAGAGTGCTCAGAAGGTTATACAAGCTTGCAGGCAGCATAGGAAAACAATAGTGCTACGCCCTGTGCTCCCTATGAGTGAAAGAGCTATGTCTTTAATTGTGTGTGCTACAAGAGAAAACCCCACCTTTTTTTCTCTTTTCCAACTAGTCAAAAGCAAAGAAAAGTATTGACCCAAACACGAAACCTGTATTGTCAGGAGGCAGCAAATGCAATGATAAGATGAATTCGTCCAGAGAGTTCTCCAGGTTTGAACTGATTCAGCCAAGCCTCAATTTATTCACTGAGACCAAAATTGCTTTATTCATTTATTATATTATTTTTATTTGTGAAACTAGAAGATAGGAAGATAACCAAGAATTCAGGCATGGAAGACATCTGAACAATCATACAGTTCTATGTTATTCTAGTTCTAATTGTTCTGAAACTGGGGGTACTGATGGGGATCACTTTTTATTTAGTCTGCAGAATGATGAAGCAATTTTCTCCAGGGACATGTCATGAGTCCATGGAGTGACTCTTTAAACTTGGAAATTTCTGCTTGGTGTCAGTACCCTGGCAGTTAGACACCCTCTGATGTGAAGTAGATGATCATGCCAGTCTTCCTTGTACGAAGTTCTGAAAAATAATAGTATAAGAAGAACAAGAAAATAGATGATAAGTACAGAAATGGCAAAGGTTCTTAATAAAAACAAGATTTCACAAGCAAAAAATTATTTTAAAGGTGTAATAATACTGTATTTGGAGTATATTAATTTCTCATGGAAGTAAGTTGTTTCTTTACACATAACAAACATAAGAAACTTGACTTCATAAATCTGATGATTAAATCCCTTCAATTTATTTAATCATTAAATTTAATGGGTAAGTTTCCTTAAATCTTATGTTTAATTGCACACAGGAGCTGCCCATGTTTTTCTGAAGTTATATTTATTTCACACATTTCAATATTATTTCTTATCAATTAAATTAATTCCATGAATGAAATAGTATTTGTTAAACAGAATGTAGCAATGTATCATGAGAAATAGAGAGAGAATGAATCTTAGGGAAATAAGATACAGGTTCTAAAAATTCAGTTATTCTGTTGTAAATGATCAAGTTACAGTAAACCAAACTCACCAGCTAGCCCAAGGTATCATGTGATTTTTTTCCAGTTTCTGATCATTAGAAAAAAACTGAAGAAATCATAAGAAATAAAAATGAGAAATGTATATATATTCCAAAAGAAAAAAATTAAGAAATACTTTAAGTGAGAGATAACTACTATCTGGTTGAATGAATAGGGGGAAGGCAAGAACAAAAATTTACTTGTATATCCACTACTACGTACAGATTGGGATGCCAGTCCAAATGATACACATTTAGACAACTTTTAGTTAGTGGATTTAAAAAAACACCAAAACTTAATTGTGTGTGTATAAAAAGTGAACAATAGACAATAGTTTCCTAGAACTCATAAAATAACAATAAACTTCAAAAAGTAATCTCAAACTTGACTATAATAATCCAAGAAGTGTTCTTCTCAGAGATCATCTCAGTAGCCTTATATAGTCAAATTATGAGAGAAAGGATTTGACTTCTGACTCCTAGGAACTTATCATAACAAGATTCTATTTCAGTTATGTAACTGAAATTATGACTGTGATTTTCTAAAACCAGAAAATCAAAAAGGAAGCTGAAGTAGCCATCAAACTTACTGTCTTGCTTAATTTGACGTTATTGGAAATGCTGTATTTACAGATTATTATTTCAGTGGAGTATTTGGGGTTTTTGTCCATAACAATGATATAAATTCATACACAAAGATGAAGACCCGTCCATTCAAATCCTTTTTCATTTTTCAGCATTCAAAAAGATAACTTAGATCCTGAAAGTTACCTGTCTTGTTTCATAGGTTGCACCTGTACTCCTGCTACACATCTGTGGAGCAGGGTTTCAGCCAACTGTTAATCAAGGATAACTTCCTTTCAAAGTGACTGATGAGCCAATGTTAAAGCAATTTACAAAAATAACTTTTAGAAAAGGTGATTCAAGAGATTTAGACATATCTCACCATGCTTTAAAGTTCATGTTTCATTAATAAGTAAGAAAATTTTAAATGGTCCATTACATTTTAGAAATAAAACATCTTTGGCAATATTTTCATATGGATACAAACAGTGATAATGTTCCAGATTGGCTTTTAAAGCTGTTAGGAAGCCTTAGCAATGTGAAAAAGATATAGATTAGGTAGATGCAATAAAGTGTGATTAAAGAATGCAAACACTGAAGGGTGCTGGAGAAACTCTTTTTAGAAAGAGTGTAATTAGTGTCCAATAAAAGTCCTTGGCAGATAAAATTTCTGAAGAAAAAAGGTTAATACAAACCAATATTTTATGACAAAGCTGTTTAACTTCTCTCCTTTGGTTTTCTTGTATCCTCAACATTACACTGAAGCTCCATACATAAATAATGTTTGTGAAATACTTGACTGAAAATCTAACAGACAATTGAGTGCTTTAATTGCCAGACACGGAGTGCTTAAAATGTGTTAAAATGTCTTCTTCCATTTTTGGTGTACATTTCTTTGTTGATTTATGCAATGTAGCTAATAATATGCAACCTACCCTGGTTTTAAACAAACAAATGAACTTTTTAAAAAGCTTTCTTTAAGTTGCTAAGCAACTCCAAAGACACATTTTATTAATTTAACAAATAGCATTCAAATGACAAGTCCCTAAAGATGATGTCTACCTCAGCTGCTGTTAAAAAAAGGTAGAAAATCCAAGCAGATACCCTTCTAATTCCCCCTCCCAAGGCTTCGAGGAAAATCAAAGGTGCTGCCTTCTTCTAATATGTATTTATTAGCATGCCAAATAGTATTTTTTCAATTGAAAATATTACCATAATAAAGTTTAGGTCCAAAGACTTGTAGTGGAGCTGTCCAAAATATCCCAGGCCTGAAGATCATTTAGCCTGGGTTCCACTGACAAGGTGGACAGAAGAATTTGAGATTGTAGGGGACTGACCTATGAATCATAGGGTGTTTAGTAACATACCACAACTCCACCTACAAGATGCTAGCGATGCTCCCCCCACAGTAGTTGCTATAACTAAAATTTTCTCTAGGTAAAACCAGGACTAGAGAAGGTCGATACAGTAGAACGGCAACTCATTCATGGTTGAAAATCACCTCAAACATGTAAAATACATCTTGAGCCTTGCTGGTGATGTTGACATCTCAAGATTTCTCAGCACTCATGAATACTTATCATCTCCATCACCACTGGGCACATGATAGCGATTCTAGGGTGCTGCAGGTCTCTGTGTATTCCAATGTATACCAACTGGAGTTAAGAGACTCAGTGACCATTGTAATGATAACTCTTTTTCTACCAACTTCATGTTCCAGAATTCCACCAAAACCTTATCTTGTTCATATATTCTCTGCATTAGGTCTTAAGCTAGAATGATTTAAAAGTAAGTAGCAAGGGCCTGAAGAAATGGCCCAGCAGCTAAGAAAAAAAAATTCTGCTCCTCCAGAGAACCCTTGTTAGGTTCTCAGCGCCCCTGTTGTTTGTAGGTGACTCACAGCTGCTTGTAACCCCAACTTCAGAGGGATCTGACACCTCTGGCTTCCTCGGATGCTGGCAATCACATGCACATGCCCACACGCGTGCACACATTTTTTAAGTTGTGTAAGGTACGTCTCGGTTGTGATGGTTCTGTGAGGTTTCCCACGCCTCCATCAGTCTTTAGCCTTCCTCTTCAGCCCTCACACACAGACAAGCTTGTGTGCTTCCAGTCTCAATGTGACTTATGGAAGACAAATCCATCCTCCCGATGAAAGTCTTCCTAATTGTCCTTCCTCTACCCTTTACGTAGAATACTGTGTTTCTGTTGAAAGAATGGCACAACTACAAATTAATATGAGGCAATCATTTTCTGACTGTCTCCAATATGCCAGACACCATTGCTTCGCAGCTCTTTCTATCAATTTACATTTCATTATTTATGCCCAACTAGACTGTAAGTTCCCAGAGGAGAGGAACAGGTTTTATCTGTATCCCTCTGGCACCTTTTAATAATGATGCTAATAAATATGCTTTACATTTGATTAGCAATTATAACCTTTCAAATTACTTTCATGGTTATTAGCTCATTGGTTATATAATTTCACTATTTTACAATCAATGAGAGTGGGACATAAAATTCCCTAGGGAATAGTTCATGATACTCACTCGAATGTGTATTCAATATATACAGACTGACTAAATTGAGTCTGACAAACCTAACATGGTTTGCCTTGATCGTAAAAAAAAAATGTTTATGACATTTAGAAAAAGAAAAAATTTGTAAAGGATAAGAATTGTTGAATGGTTCAGAAGACTCAGCAACAAAGAAACGAATCAGGTTTTTAAAAAGTGTTCAATTATAATAAAGTAGCAGGGGAATGTAAGAAATCTTGTAGTTTTCTACAAGGGATTAACTTCGTTTGCAAGGTCTTTACCTTTTATTAAAAAACTAAAGTTTTTTTAAGACAATAAAACGTAAAAGGATTAACTTCTATGCTCTACAAGTCACAGTAGTTACCTCATATATATGAATCAGACCACGAAAAAATATTTTCTTCAACTTTACCACCCCCCACAAGGGGGTGGAGCTCAACTAGATAAATAACACCAATCTAAAACATACGTGTTTATTTGCCTTTTAGTCGATTAGAAGGAAAAAAATTATCCAATGCCAAAGTCAGCTGACCTGAGGGGATCCAAGCCTAAGAAAGCCATGCTTTATCCAGTGACAGTGCCATTTACTGCACCACTGCTAAGTGCAGACAGACACTAGTCTAGGCCCTGGAGGGAGAGGTCCCAACCCCAGTTTCTGGTGTGACTCTGTGCCAGCGGTGCGGAAAGGGGCAAGTGGAAATGTCTGAAAAGCCAGAAATGATTTCCTTTTCATTGGGCCTTTTCTTTCGGCCCTTAGCTCCTTCTGCCTCCAAATTTAAGAAGTGAAGGCGTTTAAAGAGAAATGAAAATAAAGAGAAAGGTTAAGACATCACCAGGCAGGAGGGAGATGTCACCTAGCGTCGGAGCCATCCTTCTACCACGTGACTGGCGTGAAAGGAGAGCGGGGAGCGAACCCCCAGACCAGGGAAGGAGCTTGCTGGGGGTCCAGTGAGGGACTGCGGAGGAGGTGGGGACCCGCTAGGCGACTGGCTAGAGGGCGGGAGGTCTACAGGCCAGGGGCCTACAGCAGACTGACTCCTCTGGTCTTTGCCGGCCGCTCCTCGGTGCCGAGCCTCTCTGGGCATTTCCTTCACAGGCAACCGCCAGCCGCGCTGGCGAGCCGCGTCCGAGCTCGGGGAGATGGGACGGGGAGATGATTGGCCCGGGCAGCCGAGCGCCAACCGGCCTGGAAGCATCCCAGCTGCCGCGAGGGGAGCGCAGAGGCCGGGTCCTGCCGACGTGTCCCTGCTCTCCTTCCCGGAGCACCGCAGAGCGCAGCAGCGCCGCGCTTTTTAATCTCAACTGGGAAGAATAAGATTGTTTCCAAGGTTTTGTTTATCCAGAGAGTGGAAACGGAAAAACTCAAGTCTGTTGGCGTTTTCCCTTGCCCCGCCCTACCCCGAATTAGTTCTGAGAAGCCTGCCCAGCCCAAGAGGGGATAGAGGGAGCCGTCCTTTTCCTCTCTGCGCAACACTCTCTCCCCCGCCTGCGCGGTCTCCACACAGCCCTCACTAGGCCAGCCCAGGAGTTAACACAAAGTCCGCCGGAAAGACCTCAAGAACCCCCACAATAAGCATCATTGGAACATTGGTTTATCAAAATGGGAATAGAAAGTAGAATATATATATTATAATTATACTGCTAGTCGCAGTATAATGAAAATTCACCACCCTTTCTAGTCCTTGCCCCCCCACCCCCGCAAAGGTCTGGGGAGGAGTGTTTCCTCTTGACGCTGATGGGTCAGGACATCTCTACCTCATTGTTTATTTCTCTAAGCTCTGGTAGGTCTAAAGCTAGCAGAGATTCCAGACAAAGTTGGGCCTCCTTACCCTTTTCCTCCGTGCCATAGAAACTTTACTTTGATTCCCAAGGGCCTGAAGATCCAGAGAAGCAATAAATCCGGGGCCTGGCTGTGAACCTGTTCCCTCTAATCCTGGAAATGGAAAGCAGTCAGGGATCAGCGGCCTAACTGCGTACCCTAACTATGTAGTGGTTGTTGACAAAGGGGGGGGGGAGTGGAGGAGGAAAGTGGGAAGGAAAAACGGGACGTGTGTGTGGGGGGGGTGATGTGTTCATTTACACATTTCCTGTGCAGAACAAAAAAAGTCCCACCATCAGCAAAAGAAATCTTTTCCTCCAAAATAGCAGCCAAAGAGGGAGAATTAGAATATGCATAAAATTCCTTCATTTTCATTTGCACAGAGCATGATTTCCGGCACATTTGTATGTAAGCTGCGCGATTAACACCAACGCCTAAACAGTATTTCACTTAGTGTCTTTCCAAAGCTCACCTAAGGAAAATTACTGTATTCCTAGGACCCTATTTCGGAGCTTCCCTTTTCCTATTCTGTCTGCCAATGAGAATTCCATTGATAGGGTGAGAAGTTGGGTTTTCCTGGTCATCCTTTTGTCTTTAACTGCACTGATACACGGAACCACACTTCGCTGAAAGCTGGCTGCGGGCTGTGAAGCCAGGACTGCAAGTCACAGCCTAATGAAGAGTATGTTTTAGAAACGGGAATAAAATACAATAAACATTCGAGGATAGATAGATGTTTCCATATACTCTTGAGTCGTGAAAATCTTTCCTATTCTACTGTAGTTAGCAGTAACTAAAATGCTCGCACATAGACACCACTGAGACTCAGTTGTCTTCAAGAGTGAAAGAATTGCATAACCTCACTCACAGTAATGCTGTTCTCCACAAACATTCAGCCCACGAGTCCACTAAATCCCCACAACATAGCCCAGTTGTTTGCTTTTGCTACTAGTTCAACAGAGCTGATTGCAATCTTCCCTGAAAAAAAAATTGTGTTGAGAAAAACTGTTAGCATCATTTGTGTTCCTTTTCACGTGGACTTACTTCTGCTTGTGAAAACGTATGTTCCTTTCATTGAATAGACTGTGGATAATGGATGATATTTGTATGTATTGGCTTGCTGGCTAAAAGAGACACTTCATTACAGGAAATTCTAATTCCTCACTCCTCCATATCCCAATATAGAAAGAAAGTCTTTATTTGCTCTCAATACAAACAGGCATCTTCAGTGATTTCCTTCAGTACCTGCAGATTTCAAGTAAATCTCAATTACTTGTACTGAAATGCTAATATTTATTTGATTTTTAGTTTTCATAGAACAAATATTATTGATACATCAGCTTGACATACATGTTGTACATGAAAAAGCATATAAATATATAGTTTCTGTTGGCTAAAGATTTATTCAAATATTAGGCTACAGAAATTATTATCTTAATTAAATGGGTTTTTAAATTTCACAGGCCCAAGAGTTTCTGCATAGCTATAAATACTGGGAAATAATTGCTTTCAGCTTTTATTTACATCAAATTTCATCACTACAGAATCACTAAATGTAGTTTCTCTTGGCTGTTTTTGTCTGTATTGGCTCTGAAGGTCTCAGTCATATAAAATAAAATACAAAGGATTAGAAAATAAATTTCCCCAAAGCCATATTTTGGGAATGCATGGGACAGAATTGGGAGTCATGTTTTCAAGTGATGCTGACTTCCCTTAATTTTCTTACTGAAATAAATGGTAGTTTGTTTCTTAATAAAAGAAATAATTCAAACAAGAATCACACAAACAGAATATCTTCCTTAAAATATTATTTTGTTTACAATTAAGTTGAATATGGGATGCTCCTCTTTTGATTTTAAGTTTGGCAGAAGTATGTTTGCAGAAGATTGGGGTGAACTTAGTGAGAGCTATTCAACTCCAAGCATGAAGAAATGCTGGGGTGCCACTGAAGTATAGATCAATACCTATGTAAAGCCAGAGCCACCTCCCGCTGCAGTCTTACCAAGGTGGGTGAGAACTGAGCACACAGTTTCCAGAGCACACACTGGATACTGATAGGTACATTTTTTTTTTACCTTTTCAAGAGTGCAGGTTCTGCGTTCTGGGTCTGGGGCCACATCAGTGCAGTAAGGTTACCCACCTCTTATCCCAAACTATCTGGTTGCTAAGATCTCTCTTCATGTGGCCAGAAGTACTGAACTGACAAGGAATTTCTGACTTAGTCTCTGTTCTTCTCTCCTACAACTGCCCTTCCTTTCCTAACCAGCTTCTCTATCTTCCTCACAAAAGCAGGGAATTACACACCACCTGTTTCAGGGCTAAACATCTGCCTGACAAACCTCAAGTCTAACTCCATAACTTCTAAGTCTTATTATCTTTATTTCCCTTCCCTTTTGTGGGGGCAAAATGGGGATAGGTGTTCAGGAGGCAAGGAGAATGCTAGACTGAGAGACTTTACTACAGGTAGAGAACTACTGACAGATTCTTCCCATCTAGGCCCAGGATCTAGTAGCCATCTATCACGTATACACTTCATAGAAGCATCTCTTGTACCTGAAGAAATGGTTTTGTTTTCCTAGCTTGACTATTACCACGGAAGTCTACCACCAATAAATCCTTTCCCTTAGCCTCACTGTCTTTACATCTGTCTATTCCTATATTCACTGGAAACTGAAAACCCTGCCATTCTCAACTTCCTTAGCTTTTTAAAACAATATGGTGACTTGCCTACTAACCAGAAGCAATCTAGGCAGCAGGTGCTCCAGCTCTGTACTCAAGAAACCTTGATATGTGTACCTCTGTTCCAGTTTCCCTCCTAAGCTGGCCGCTTTAAGAATGGCATCTTGAGGAGGACATGTCTATAGCCATGATGGAGCATGAATACAAAAGTACTCAATGACATTTACAAGGGCCTTTCTACTACAGTAGACCAAGGGAGTCTTTCTTTAGAAACTTTAGTTTAGCAGGACAAGAATCATTTAGTTAATCAGCAACACATGAAACTGGAGGAATTCCCAAGTGCAGCTACGAAACACAAATTGCAGGTTAAAATAGGTTCTGTTTTCTTCCTGTTGGCCTTAAAATTATTTTAAGGTTACTTCTGCTACTGTTACTTATACTGTTATTAATAATAGTTTATTTAGCATTATTGTTGCATTTTTGTTGTTGTTTTAGCTATTATACTATTCACCAGAAGTTTAAGAAGATTAGTCAGATTAATTAGTTTATTGGTAATTTAAAGCTAAAAACTAGTAATTAAGCCAAAAACTATAAATGATCAGGATGATTCATACTGATGTAGGATTTGGAAGGGAGATAATCTAAATTTTGGATACTAAATTTTGCAGCTGTGAAATAACTAGGAGTTTGGAGTCAAGAATCTGGTAACTGGTATTTTTTAGTCACCCAGCCACTCTCTTTCCCAAATTCATCTGTGATATTTGTTAAACATTTTTTAAAAAATTGAGTATAGAACAAAGATCCCATGAATGACCCTCATGTCATCAGATTTTTCACATGGATTCTCTGTGTTCAGGACCATCCTAGCATATGAGATCTCTTCCCTGCAAATCAGCCCTTGTCATCTTTTTGCTCTCTTAAGTGGTTCTCTGAAAAGGAAGTATCATGTAAGACAAGGAGATGACTTCATTCCTCTCAGGCAAACTCTGGAACGTAAACTCAACATTGCAATTCTCTCTACAAGTTCCTGCTCTTTCAAATATAATTAATGTTTTGATAGTATAGTTCTTTAACCACACATACACACATAAAAACAGGCGCACCCTCTAGCTTTGCTGTTTGTTCATCTAAAAAAATGGATACATTCTTTCAGTGGATCCTAAGATTCTTTCAGTTGGGCAGCACACAGAGAAGATAACTACAGTCCAAATATTGTCAATTTTTGTTAAATTTCATTTGAAAACAAAGGAGATTCTGAATTGGCAGTCTGGTACAGAAGTTTGCTATGAATGAGGCAAAATCACCAAACCCCTGTTTATCTTTTGAAAAATTAATTATGGAAGCAGAATTTTAGAATCTTTATTTTATCCAGGTCAGGCCAAAATGACACATGTGTAAAAACCAGTAACTATAATAACAAAAGTATAGTGAGTTAGCTAAGAATTGCTTACTTTGTCAAGTATTTCAGCTCTCTGTTTTAGGTCAATTAGGTCACACAGTTGCTATTAGTTATAAATAAACATATGTGACATAGATGGTTGGAAAAACAGGCATATAGATATGTAGCTAACAACTTAGGGGTTAAGTGAACAAATTGGAGCTTCTTATTTATGTCTTCTTAAGTATTACACTTTTAACATTTCATTTTTCCATACTGATTGAAATGTTACAAACTGATAACTATAAAAACGGTGGGCTATGACAAGCTTGCCATCTTCAATAAAGAAATGCATAACCTTGAATCCAATACAAACATCAAACTTCATCTCCATACAACATTATGGGGTAGAGAAATTACATATGATATATGAATATATCTAAGGTATTGGCAAGGGAAAGAAATATCTTACACATATCTCTGCTCTGCTAACTTTTTATTTTGGAAGAAATGTGCCAAGAACTTTGCTTCTTAAAAACATTTTGATGCTTACTTTTTTTTCTTATTTAATATTTCAAAAAAGAACAAGTGAGTCCATGAAGGTGACTTTAAGTGGATCTTGTCAAGAATGGCAGAGAAACAAAACTGTTTTTGACTGGAGTGTGATTCTGGAGAACCTCTGATCTCTGTCTTTGTTTTAGATGGGGCCCATTAGCATTCCTTTTTATTACTTTCCTCCAAACATTCATACTGATTAATATGCAGACATTAAATATGAGATAATTTTTCAACAGAAAAGCCTTCACAGGTGTACACACTCGGTATTAGTGTGGGAATAAACTACAGTCCCGATCGTTTGCATATAGGCAACAGAAGGAAGAGTTTCTACACTATTGATCACCAAGGATGTGTGAAATATGAAGTACAAGTTCTCCCTCAGAAATCCTCATGTGTGCTTATTTCTCCCCCTTGTATCTCCTTCTTTTTGTTTTTCTTTTTCAGTTAGAAACAACTGTGATTCTCAAATGAGGTTTTGTTTGGCTCTGGCTAATATTAAAGAAGATCACACAGTTGAAAAATATTGTTATTTTTCTTTAATGGGGAAAATTGGACTCCCGCGTGTCAGATCTGTGGATTTCCGAAAGGCAGTGGGAATGGTACTGACATCATTTTGCACTTTAACAATCCGATTTGGTCAGAGTACAAGTTGTTTGTTTAACCCGACAACTCGGTGCACCCCGTCGCACACTTTGCACACTCATTAAAACGATTATTCACGACCTGTCGAGTGTTTTCGGGTTCATTCACAGGAAAGGCTCGCATCCAGAGAGCAATTCAAGTCAACACTGTCCACTACACCACGCACGTGAGGACTAGCTGGTGCATGCGTGAAAGACTAGGGGAGGAGTTCATGAGTGCATCGGCTGGTAAGTCCTGCTCAACATGGGATGCAAGGAACCTCAGCGTCCTTAGAGTGCTTACAGCATTTGGCTCCGCAACAGCCACTTCACTCCCTAGCTTCAAAGACTAGACAAGGAAAGGAAAAATGAAACAAATAAAAGTAGCTCTCTGCTGTCTTTCCCTTTCCACTTTCTGCAAAACTTTAGAACCAAGAATGGCCCACCTTCTCCCTTTGGCCCTCTTACCATGGACAACTGCTGAGGAAAAAGGAATTCCCATTCCATTTCCCAAGGACTCTTTGGTCTCAAAAGATATCTAGGACAAATTTGTTTTCTGTGTACCTTGCATTCACGAAGGGTATAACAAATGAATAAGAAAAATAAAATTTCTGTATGCTTTTGGTAGTTGTACTCCCAACTCTTAAAGAGGAAGGACTGAGAAAAGTCCTGCAGATTAAATACTAAATAGACCTCAATAAGGTAGGTCATTTTTTTTAATTCTTCAAGCAATTTTTCAATATTTTGGCATGGCAACAGAGAACCACAAATATGGATATCCTCATCCCTTACTCCTGCCTTGTACTTATCAGGAACACACTGAATCAGGTTTTCCTATTTTGTGCTGAGAGGACTCCTGGTATATACTATCCATGTGCTGCATCAGTGTAAGTGGCATGGCTATCTTCAAACCATGCAATAACACATGCACACTAATAGAATATATGTGTGTGCCATTATTTAATATATGAGAATCCATAATGGCTTCTTATGCATAAAGACCCCTGGATATTTATGAGTTAGCATGTTTAAAATAAATGTCCAACATCTATATTTAAATTATTCCTTCTTGATTTTTCATAAAAAAGCACTGCTAAAAACCTTGTGGCTAGTCTATTTTCATGAGGCTAACCCAGCCATGCCAATTGAAAAATTATATCTTATTCATGAGTTTCATTCTATTAAATCTAAGATCACTAAATAATGCTTTCTACCTTATCGAAACACATTGATGCAATGTGTGAAGAAAGGAATGGAAGCTTTCAAACAGCATGAGGTTTTAAGCAGAAGCAAGTTTCTAATTGCTAACAGGCAAGCACGAATAAACAATTTTATAACTTGCTCACACTCCCAGAATTTAAGTACACTTTTGAGGTGTACCTAAGATGGACCGGTTACATATGTTTTGCTTGCTACAATAAACTCTTTCATTAAAAGCAATGTGTGATAAAAATAAAGAGGGACCCTGGAAGATATGGAAGCAAATAGCTGAAAGCTCTGCATAAATAAACACAAATCAATGTAGCAATACATAACACTATTGATGCAGAAACGATCAATTTTAGTCTTCCAACCTGCAATCAGAGTTTGCCATGCGTAATTAACAGTATTTATTTTCAGAAAAAAATAGATAAATAAAGAAACAAGTAATACCTGCTGTCAATTTTATCTGATTCTACTTAATTGTTTCCAGAACATTTTTGATAAGGTCGGCAGAGTACCCTTTTTTTTTTTTCAGGAAAGCTTTGCCAACCTTTAAAATCACATCATTAATTATAGAAATTATCAAAGTATTATTAAATAATAAAATTACCACCTTATTCTTGTTCTGAATTTCTCAGCCTTCATCCCAGTCTCTAATTATTCATTCAGAACATTTTAATATGACAAACACAATAGTACTTCTTATTTTCAAAGTTTTCTCAGATACTTGAATACTATTGGTTTAAAAATTCTTTAGCTACCTTTTATAGTGAAGGAAAAGGGTGTTGATCTCTCAAAATCCCATGAAAGTCCTCCTCCTAAGCCTACATAAGCTTTATAGGAGAAATAAGGGGGGAAATCTGTACTATTTCAAGACTGTTTCTTATCATAAATGTAAAGTGAACATAAGTCAGACTCAAAGAGGTAGCTATACTTTAGATGCCTAGAATTTACATCTAAAATGATGTCGCAGGTTTCCCTACAGTTAAATTTTCTTTGTGAGAAATTATTAACCGCCAAGGGTGTGTATCCCTTTTTCAGGATTGGCCTTCAGACAGTAATGAGAATTGTGTTCGTATTTTTCATCTACAGAGGTGCTCATTCACATCCATGCTCAAGCACATGTTCTAAAAAGAATTTCCAATTTATAAAGCCCAAATAGCTTGAAAAAAATCCCATCCATAACATCACTGCACATAAGCCTTGAGTCTGGTTAGTCTCATAATAGTGCACAATCCGAAAAAAAAAATCCTTGACTCCTGTCATACCCATGTAGGGCCAAGAATTCAGGGGAAACCAGACCCAAAAGGAAAATATCATCAGTTATTGTTTAGGGCTAATTTAACAGATAATTTAACTTCAAACAACAATGATTAGGTCATTAAATTTCAGAGTCATGAGAAAATGAAAGAACCAACAGAGACACAATTCTCTGTAACCCCATTACAGTTTTCAGTCTTTCTCTTCAAAGGAATTAAAACAAACAAACAAACAAACAAACAAAATCGGCATATGCTGGGAGATACCATTGCCCCTTAAAGCATACAAAGAATAAAGCAATAAGAGGAGATGAAGGGGAAAAATGAAAACGAAGGTGGCTGTTTCAACTACAGGATGCTAGCAATATAGGACAATTCAATCTAGTCGAAAATGAATATCCACACTGTAGTCATTGAACATGCTCTTTCATACCCACCAGAAGTTACAAATCACTCCATGAGAGCTATATGCTCTTTGCCCCGTGTGGCTTTTCCATAATGCCAAAGACAGTTAAATGCTATAGACCACAGGCCCGGGAAAGGTGTGGGGCTTTCCAACTCTCCTGGCAGCCTCGCACACAGAATTCTGAATCACTTGTTATGATTTTAAGTAACTCCTCCGATCACCGTCTCTGGATTTTGGCCTATTTTAAGTTTTGCTTAAAGGGATGGGATGTAGCCGTGTGGAGACGTAACACCTAACATGACTGTTGTAAAAGGGAGGTGGGAACATCCCTCTGTGTCTCCGTCCAGTTCTTCCAAAAGGAAGATAATTCCTAGCAAATCTCCGTGCTTCTGCTGTAATGTGCTCCCCAGTCCGGCTTTTGTCTCTCCGACTCCAGGCTGTTACTAGCGTTCAGGAAATTCCTACCCGGAGGCTAACTCCTACCAAAAGACAGGAGGCTTGGGCAGAAATGCAGAAGCGGACTGAAGTGATAGAGGGCTATTGTAAAAATCAGTTTTACCATCCACCGGGTGAGTGCTGCTATCTGAAACTGCACCCGGCAAACAAAGACTAACAACTTCTAGGAAGCGGAGGAGCGATCAAGGGAGTCTCAGAAGCACGGGCACCCACTCGGCCTCAGCTCTTGAGGCCGGTTCCCCACGCCGCAACGGTGTCCTGGGCTAGAGCGCCCTCGCGTTGCGGCTCGCCGGCAGCGCGGCTCCCTAGGCAGGGAGACAGGGGCTGATGATCATCCCAGCCGAGGCCCACACCCACAAACCTAGCCGCCCAGCGGCCTCAGCTACTTCTGCAGTATCGGTCCACATTCCGCGGCTAGTAACCAACCCGAGACCACAACGATGGATGGCAGACCCCTGCCTCTCTACTCGGTACCCATCCCTGACTCGCCTTCCAAAGTCGGTCCGAGCCCCGAGGCACAGGGCAGACCATCGCAACACCGCAGCCGAACCTCCCGGGAGCTTCGGGAGAAGCCAGCCAGAGTCTGGCGCGCTAGCAACCACCCTGGGACAGCCAGACTCTGGAGCATATAGCGCGGGCTCCTAAGTGTGTATTAAAAATCAATTATTTGCCTGAGATTTCCAAAGCCAGGAACTGAGCTATTCCCAACAGGGACAAAGTCAAGCCCAGAACGGTGCTCATTTCCCTAGTTTTCCAAGAGACCAAGAAGTCTCCTGAACTCGACCTGGAGCAGATCCTTTTAGTCCTGCAGAGACCTTGGCTTAACCCAGGCCAAGGAGCTGGTGAGGGAGAGCCGCACCGGGTGAGGCTGGCAATACCAGCATGAAAGTAGGATCCAGGACAGAATCACACACACACACACACACACACACACACACACACACACACACACACACACAGAGAGAGAGAGAGAGAGAGAGAGAGAGAGAGAGAGAGAGAGAGAGAGAGAGAGAGAGAGAGCAGAGACAGAGTGAATTTTGATTTGATATAAAGGGCTTCATCTTGTTGCCTAATCCCCGGTTTGAACATTAAATCCCCCTCGTCCTGTGAAGCAGTCATAAAATTCAGAAATCCTATTCCTATTAAACGAATAACCTTCACTTCTGAAGCCGCTAGTCTCCCGTTGCCCTTTCCATAGAGATTTGTCATCTTTTCTTTCTCTTGTGAAATACCTAAATCCTTTTTACCTAGGCATCCACCATGATATCTGCCCACGTGGACAAAGCATGCATTCTTTCACCCGTGACTGTGGGAATCCACGCACTAGGAACAATTCCCAAGTGGGGAAGAAAGGGAACGCTTAAACTTTAAAGGGATCTAAGGGTCCACCACAGTCGCCTGTGGGGCATACTAACCACCCACCACCACGTGAGGCAAAGAGGACTTTCACTTACCGATCCCCGGGTGAGAGTGTTCACAGTTCTCAAGTCCTTCCTTCGCCTCGGCAGCCTTCAGGCAGCATCAAGCAGAACCTTGGATTGGGGCGGGGGTTGGGGGGGGACCAAGTCGGGAGGGAGGAAGACAAAACATAACACTACGTCATATATTCGCAGCCCGGAGTCCCTGGGCCTACCTTCCCAGGACAGGGTCTTCAAAAACCAACCCGATGGAGCAAGGAAAGGGGTCAATTTAGGAGTTGAGAACTAAGATTGCTTGTTTTATTACTATTGGTGGTGGCAGGGGCGGGGGGGGGGGATTCGTGGAGGAATGATAAAGCAGGACAATTGAGGTTAGAAAAAAGTGGGAAATCGGAAGCGAAAGAAAATCGAAAATGGAGCTTTCAGCGAACTGGAAGACCACCTTCTTACAGGGAGGGAGAACTCAGGCATGTTTTTTTGAAAGGGAATCTAGATGGCCCTCATTCTTTTTGTAACTCCAGGATCCGGACTTGAGTACAAGCATAAGGAGAGGGAAATGTAAAATTCAGTGTTCACCTACCCTGCTTCTTGAAAGAGCTGCGCAGATTTCCGTTTGGAGATTTCCATCTGTCTGGTAGAAACTGGAGTGGTGCTGGGAGCAGGTTATCTGCTGAAGTAGGGACTTACAGGAACCCCGCCCTCTAGGCACCGTTACACAACCTCAGCAGCCCGGTCTCAGCCAGCACTAAAACCTCTAGTGATCTTCACTTTCACCCTTTGTTAACCTAATTCTCCAGCAGACTTTCAGCCTTAAAAACAACCAACTCCATTAGCTGTCCACAAAATTAATTGGTCAAAATTGAAATTATTTCAATGCATGCAAATTCTCAGTGAGGAAGTAGAAAATACACGCTTAAAAATCATACTTTGATATAAAATTCTAACATTTGATTTGCCCATCTAAATTGGGGTAAAATATGTACCAACTTGAATGCATATTATAATCAATACACTTCAAGACAGATTTTTTTTCTCTCTATCCTGGACTGTGATTCCTGTCACAGAAGCCTCTGGAAGAGTACTTTGAGTATAAGGACACTTGCATTGAACTATTTCAGATTTACTTGATTTTCAGTTTTGCAGCTAGATGAAGAAACTCCTTCACTGACGCATTTTATATCATTCCTCTGTGTTTGTGTATTAACAATTGTGTTAACTTTCAGTTATGTCAACTAAAGTAAAATGCTAAATCTGTAATATTTTAACTTGGAGTTTCAATGTTTAAATTGTGATTGTTTTCTTTTCCAAGTTTTCAAAAAGGGCAGCCTCCATTTCATTTTAAACAATTATAAATTTGAAAGAAAATAATCTTCAAAAAGTTTTAGAACTGTTTGTCTGGAATGAACTGACTGTAACACCTAAAAGTTGGTGACAACACACAGGAAAAAACATTGTAACCAACAGTCTGAATAAGCAAAATTAAATGTACCAATGCCATACCAGATTGTTATTTTTAAAAGAGGGTATCAAGAGGGAGGGTAGGCTACATCAGGAAAATGAAATAAAAAATATTCACACATTGGGCTTGAGAAAGCCGGTACCACCTTCTCTTTCTGTAAATATATATATATATATATATACACATATATATATATTCATGTCTAGGAAACCTAATAAACAAACTTCCAATCACATCCACAACATATGCAAATTAGACATGAGCATGTGGTAAAGCACACCTCTACTCTAATACCTAGTCCCATGGATACAAAAAGGCAACTTCACTATAAGGACTTGAAAGTACAAAAGGTGCCTTTGAAATTATATTTCTCTATTTTCTAAATAAACACTTCACAAGGTCACAAGTAAGTATAGATTGTTAATTTACTATGGCCAGAGGAAAAATATACATAAAATCTTTCAGCTTTATTATGCGAGTTTGGCTTTCTTTTCAACTTTTGCAATACTGTATTTCCTCTGTGACAGTATATACTCATTCCATTAAAAAAAAAAAACCATAGCAAGCAATAAATCATCATATTCGCACCCCTTCCCTCCAGCCCAAATGCAGGACTTTCTCTGAGCTAGTTAGTCTCTCAACTGTGCTTAAGCCCACACTGGCCGCCTTCTTTTTTCTTTTTCTTCTTCTTCTTCTTCTTCTTCTTCTTCTTCTTCTTCTTCTTCTTCTTCTTCTTCTTCTACAGTAACATGTGGTACTTTTCGTGATCCACTTTAAACAACTGTTAGATTTCAAGAAAGTTATATCTAAGGTGAATCTACTTTCACATTAAGAAAATAAAAATTTTGCCTATCTTTCTCTTTTAAATTTGATTCTAGCTTTTCAAAATTTCCCGGGATCTCGATCTCTCTCTTCTCTCTCTCTCTCTCTCTCTCTCTCTCTCTCTCTCTCTCTCTCTTCTCTCTCTCTCTCTCTCTCTCTCTCTCTCTCTCTCTCTCTCTCTCAACCTCTCCTCCCCTTGCTCCCCTTCTTCCTCTCTTCATCCACGATACAGTCACCCCCATTTTCCAACACCAGCTATTCTGAATTTCAAATCAATGTTAGCCAACCTGCTTCTCCACTAGCCACCCGCCCCCTTCCCTGAGCAACCTCTAAGTGCTGGCTGATAATATCTTAGGGAGAGATTATTTTTCACTGGGCCCATTGTAAGAAGTGGCCAGCTTATTGCATTACTGCAAAACACATTTCAGACTATACAAATGTAACAAATGAACAACTTGTCTTCCACAGAATCACCACAGGATCCAATTAATTACTAAACCTTTAACTCAGGTTTTCTAATTATTTTCTGGAATTATAGCAAGTGGGCTGTCTGAAACTGTTTGAAAACATTTTCATTTTGTCTCATATATATGCATATGTGAACATATGCAATATATCTTGTATATATGCATATTGCACTTAGAGCAAAAATGATTCAAGCAAAAGAAACACACATCTAAATTAAATTATACAAATATATTGAAGATAGAATTAAAGAAATACGTCTATGTTGTAAAAATGGAGAGGGAAGACAGGGGTATTTTACTCTGAATAACTAGAATTTTAAGTTGTAATTAAAAATGTAAATATCAGCATCTGTGAGTCATTACAACAGGTGATCACTTCAGCAAGCTCTACATTGCAACTCAG